CTCCATGTGGAGGGCACCTGTCGTCTCCATTTCCTTCCAAAACTTAGAATGTTTCGGTTCCTATAACAAAACCGAAAGAAGGCAATTCTTCAGAACGTCAAACTTATTACTGAACAATCTCAGGATCTTTTTTTTTTCTTTTTTATTTTTTCAGGTGCTACAACAGAAGAAATGTAAAAGCATTTAAATAAAGTACATGGTTGAAAAAGAAAACTAGCATTAAAACAATCAGTCTGGATTAGGAAAAACATTTGGCAGTGAAGTAAGTTCCTAAAGAACTTAAAGAGGAGGGCCTCGAAAGTACAATCCCATAATAGTTTGAGAGGTAATAAAAACCTTCAGATAACGTACTAACACGATGTATTAATAAATGTATGACCCGAAGCTTTCAAACTATCACGGGACTGCTGGAAGCAGGTGACGAGAATCACTGGTCGAGGCAGATCGGCGAAGGAATATCGCAAGAGTTTTTGTTTGCTTGTTTGTTTGTTTTAGTTTTTGTGGGAAATAAATACACTTTTTCCGCTGAGACACGTTAATAAAGTTGACGTCATAAAAAAGAAGTTCTGTCGTATAGGTAAGCCTCAACTCGTATGTCACATAAAATCACTAAACTGCAATGAAGTTATGTTTCGGATATGTTGTCTGCAGCTTTGCTAAATGCAAACATTTAATTGTCCCTGCTAGGGTTCACTGATATTTAGCCAGTTTTATGACTGCACATATCAACGAAAATACATCACGGAAACGCCGAGTTGGTCTTAGTGGGTGTGATATTATCAAAACATGATAATCATCATTAAGGTAAATGAATCCGCCGCAGTTTTTCTGCGGCAGTGTTAATGCAGAGAATTTCTAGCAGGGTGGGATGGTGTTCTCCGTGGGGGCACTTATACACTTGACTTACCATTTCGTTAAAAGAACGAATGGTTATAAGTTGCCTGATGACCTCAATGAGCCACTGAGCCCGAAACACAACTGTGTTGCGGTGTCTGACAATCATGCCGAGGTCATGATAGAAATCCAACAAAGTGGCGACCTCATCTTCGTCTTCAATAAAGCAAACTTTCTGGATAATACCTTGAAGCTGTTCGAGGTTTAAATAATGTACCTTTTCAGCAATCAAAGCTTGGACAACCTTCTCGAAATTAAACCATCTGGTAACAAAAATAGAAAAAAACAAAAGCTTAATGACGAAGTTTAAGCATCACTTAAAGATTGATCTCTTCTACTAAATTAAGCAAATAAAATACTCTAACCAGTTGACACAAACCTGAAATCTAATCCTCAAAACCAGTGCAAATTAGCCTCCGAATAAAGCCTTCTCTTCTCACTGAAATCGCCGCTATGGACGTTTCGTTCCGTTTCGTTTCTCTCTTACGAAATGTCCCCAGCCGCGGTGAGGAGCGAGAAGGGACGGCGTAGTTCGCAGGCTAGGTGCAAAATGGATATCGCGGCACCGTACAATCGTATTTAAGGAAACTGGTTTTGCCGCCTTTTACAACACGTTTTTTCCCTTATTCAATGTTCGCTGCGTATGATAAACGAGGACTTATTAGCGAAAGCATTGCCAGTTTAAGTAGCAATAAAAGTTGCGAGCGTATCCGGTGCAAAAATTAGACCTTGCTTGTCCTTTCCAGCGTTCGGCATTAATCCGAATGTCACCTCGGCATATTCATAAGTGTGCTGGAAGTGCTGGATAAGACCTGAAAACATATTCTTCGTGACGTCAACTTCTTCCGTACTCTGATAGATTAGCAGGTGATGGCCAAGTTATTATATTGTATAACATAAGCTAGCTCTATAAACGGCCGTTTTTGGTGAGCGCTTTCAGCTATGACGAAGGTCTGAGTACGGATGAATCGCATCTCGGTATCCTATTCATGCAGTCTTAGTCTGTCCTGCATAGATCTCCATTTTTCCCAGATGCAGACTCAGTTGCCGCACTCTTTCAATTTTGCAGGACAACAAGGCCCATGGTGTCTACTCATCTTCAGTCAAGTTGCTGAAATTGGCAAAAAGGATCATTTCCGTACCTCTAGCCACGATTTTTTAAACAATCTATTTGCTTAGGGATTTTTCCATCTAAACTAAAGTGTGCTAAGATTATTCCAGTATTTAAGGACGAAGATGACACTCTGCCCGAAAACTACCGGCCTACATCACTGCTCTCGATTTATGACAGGATATTTGAAAAACTTATGAACTCCAGACTTACTACGTTTGTCAAAGATTGCAACATTCTCTACGATCAGCAATAAGGCTTTAGCAGTAAGCAAAGTACTCATTATGCTATACTTGACATAGTTAACAATATTCTCCAAATATGGACAACGGTTGTTTTCATCGATCTCAAGAAGACTTTTGATACTGTTAACCATGAGATTTTGTTAGCTAAACTTGAAAATTATGGTATTAGAGGTGTAATCAACTCCTGGTTCAGATCATACCTGACTAATCGAAAGCAAACTACGGAAGTCAATAACGTTGTGGCTTAGGCTGAGACGACCTTGTGCGGCGTGCCACAAGGCTCAGTCCTCAGATCGCTCTTATGCCTACTTTACATCAATGATATTTACAAATCCTATTCGTTATTTGCCTTTTATCTATTTGCTGACGATACCAGTATAATACTTGCAAATAACAACTTAAAGGAACTCGAATCACTTGTTAATCGAGAGCTTGGCAACGTCAACGAATGGCTAAACGCAAAAAAACTGTCTTTGAACATAAAGAAATCAAACTTTGTAATCTTTCGCCCAAGGCAAAAGAATATGCCCTTCATACCTAGGATTAGAATTCTTGACTCCGTGACTAACGCCTACGCAAGCCTTGAAATGAAAGACTATGTAAAATATCTTGGCTTAATGATTGATTCAAATCATTCATGGAAATATCACAAAGAATCTATCTGTCACAAAATCAGCACGTCGATAGGAATTATAGCCAAGATTCGATAGTACGTCCCGCGTCGTGTTTTACTTACAACTCATTAATTGGCCCCTACTTAACTTATGGTATCTGCGGTTGGGGAAACTGTCCCTTGACATTTCAAAGAAAGATCGTAACCCTCCGTACCCTTCTTTCTCCAAACGAATTGCGTTCCCCTTCCTAGCCTATTTTTTAAGAGATTGTAGCTATTTATTGTAAGATATCAATAGACAGACAGCATCAGTTAGTATACTAAATCAATTTGTTAAAACAAGTCAGACTCATAACTAGAAAACAAGATCTGTCTCTAGCGACGCGTTTTATGTTAAGTTCTCTGGAACCGATAACGTGTATACCTTTTTCACTAGAATCGGTTCCCAAATTTGGAACTCTATTCCTTATTCGATTAACATACGTCTTTTCGTAAAAAGATAAAGGAATTACTACTAAATTTCTCGCTGTCAGAAGATGATTATGTCGAAGTGTCCCATCTTATTAAATTATTTAATACATAGTTTCTCTTCGTAATCCTTAGGTACTTGCTTTGTTTTATGTTAGTTTATTGTATTTATTGTTTAGTAGTTTCTTTACTGTTATTATATAGTCTATCTATAGATAAACCTTTTACTTGTAATATGTCTTGAGCTCCCCTCGCCTCGATTAGTTCATAAGCTATTTGCGTGTGGGAAAGAAATGTAATTAGTTATAGTATATCCAATATTCAATAAAATTTGTTGTTGTTGTTGTTGTTGTACTCGCAGGAAATCGTTTCAAACGTGTTTTTAAGCCGGAACGACTAACCATTATCTACTTTAGAACGAGGTAGATCTTATTTATCGCGACCCACTACTGTTATAGTACTACCGTATGGTGAAGGGCTGTCTGTGGTATAACCATTATGTATAATCGTCAAGAAATAATATGGAGCAAGAGTTTCTCTTGACTAAAAACTTACCGAATTGGTACCTCCTCTCCCATGTATGGTTCTTGTTTTAAAACTTCAATCATTCGTTTCCGAAGTGCGGCAACTCCGTCATCAGATGAACCTTGCCTATTATCGACTGAAAAGAAAGGACGGATCACATGACGTTCATAGTCCTTCCCACTTATTTCTCTTTGAATCTGTAATTCCATCTTTGTTATGTCTTCATGTGGTTTATCTGCATGTGTTCCTACAATAAACACTGGAGGGCGACAGTAAGGCAGATCCGCCAATTTTGTTTGCCTTTCGTTCACTTGTGATTGTAATGAACACATAGAACTGAGAGAAACCAGCCACGATAACAAATTTTCCAAATTGCTTTCGTTATTTGGGTTAGCGAGAAGAATTTCATGGACTCCTTGTCGGAAACAAGGCTGAGCAGTTTCCTTTAATCCTTTGCTGAGATTGTACACGAGCATATAAACTGCTCGTGTCGACAAAAAAACTGGGTAAGATGCATAGTAAAGATGTTGACCAGCGAAGTCCCACAGATCAAGGGTGATGTGATGTTCAACTGCTGTTGTTTCACTTTGAAGGTCTAAGCCTTTCAAATGTTGAACAAGATGGTCCATAAATTCTTCTGGAGGCAAACTCGGATCGATTTTTAAGTCAGTTGGGACGGCCGTATTTGCTTCCTTTTCGTCGGCTTTACCAGATGCACCCTAAAACGATTTTTAAAAGGTCAAAATGATACCCTCAAACGCGACAGAACAAGAATAGCCGAAAGGCGAATTTCACTGGGCTGCCAAGGGCGATGTTTCCTGGGGGAGGGGTCGCTGTACACGTCCACACATTCAGGCCACCACATAATCTTGTTGCTGACCATTGCGTGACACAGCATCTCATGTGAGAGTTAAACCTAAATTCATTTGAACATTGTATCCTATTGGAAGACTTTCGTAACAAGAAAAATGAGTGCCATTTTTAAGTCAGGGCTGTATAGTAACTTTTCAAATTCCAGCATTATGACTAAAAATAAGCAAGTCAGCCATTCTGGCAGGAAACAATAAGCCTTATTTTCACGCACCCCTCCCCCAATCCTCTGTCCACCGAACCAGCTTTATATATATTACGCGCGCACTGACTTCAAATAAGTGTCGCTTGGGTTAGACAGAGAATTGTGGGTAGGGGTGTAAAATACTCGTTTTATTTTAGCTGTTATTTTTCAAGCTCATCCCCTAGGCATTTCCCTTAGAAGAAAAGAAGCCCAGGTGATGAGTTTGCATTGACTATATTTTGGGGCATTTCCCTGAAGACTTTTTAACAATTATTCCTCAAGCCCAAATGGGCTTCATTTTCCGAAAGTAGTCTGTTTAACTGAATCATGCTCATTTGGTTATGGTTCTTAAGATCTCGCCCATTGCAGAAAATATTTGTAAATGTTGTCTACGACCCTACAGAAATATGCCGAGTCAAAAGCGGCACAAGGATATATACTGGCGGTAACCGGCAGCTGAAGTGTGAATGGATTGAGCGATTTACACTTGCTAATCCTTACAATTGAGTCAACTGTGAGAAAGGAGTTTCCACTGGGAGTGAAACGCTGAGCTGCCATGTTTACACTCGTCCGACAAGGATGTGTCTCCTCATGCCCGTCTCCTGGAACAAAATATAAACTCACGGGGGGGAATTTAAACTCACCTGATTCATTTGAGAGTTAAAGAGGGTTGGTTTCTCTTCCATCAATGGCTCTGCATTTGTTTCTTGTTGCTGACGTTCTCGAGGATCGTCAAATCCAAACTGCAAGATAAGCCCATAAAGACGAACCTATTTAATAGGAACCAATTGTATCCAAAATCTTTTAAAAGCGCTTCTTGGAAAATCGAGAAATTACAAAAAAAATAAAAGTGCCGCCGTGCAGTTGTTGCTTAATGTCATACGTGTTCGTTGGGGAGATTCGGTACAAGTCCGTGTATTATCAACACAAGGCTCTCAAAGTCAGAAAGTGCACACCGAGAAAAATCCTCACGTTTTGTGTTTATCTGGCCAATACGGCATGAGATACAGCAAATAAAAAAGCGCAAGAGATTTACTAAAGGTGCGTGCAAACAGACGCAACAACTCCCAACAACGAATTTCAACAACAACTCTAAGCAAAACTGTCTTTAGAACGACAGTTTGGAAATTCGTGTATGTGCTATAGAAAAGGGATACCCTGTACTCATTTGGTCTGTAGCTTCGGAAGTAACTTGTTCGTTCGAATGTAGTGGGTTGATAACTTAAGTGCCGGCTTTGTAAACTGTGACTCTGACGCAAAATGGACACGGTTGTATACAAAGGCACGAGATTCAAGGAAAAATCTATCCTTGATGCAAAGACACATTTTAAACAAACGGAAAGCTTCTTGCACACACATTTCACCTCGTGTCACCCTCCAAATGTTAAAAAAGAATTTGTCAAAGGAGAAGCCTCCTCAGAAACAACCTTTGAGGAAAATAATCCAAATTTAAAGAAAAAACGCTTGACGGACGGAGGCTACCAACAATCTTTCAGGGGCACCCAACGTCAGTTTTTAGAAAATATCTGTTCGAAAGACGATTTGAGATCTAGAATTTTCGGAACATTTGCTGTAAAATTTCTTGTTTGTCTGCCCCTCCTAGGATTTTCGAACATCTGAAAAAATGGTATAATTGCCCATTTTTAACGGATTTTTACCCTAAAAAGGTCAACCTAGAATTTTCGCGAGCCTTTTTTCTGGCTGAAATTTTCGAAAAGGTAAGTTTTGATCCCTATAATTTTCGTATCACTAGACTTTCAGCTAGGAGATCCGAGCAGATGGAAAATTTCTAGGGGATAAAAATATGCCTATATCTACTGTTTAAATACTAAAATACGTTTAACAATGCTATGTTAAAGTGGTTTTGAACTATATTCTCGTTGTGTGCCCCCTATCTTTGAAAGAAAACCTACTATCAGAAATAAAATTCACAAAAAGGGGTCTAAACTCCTAAAACAAAACAACAAGGAGGAAAAAGAAATATTGTCATTCGTGACACAATACCAGCCCTCAGTGTCTACTATAAAGGAAGCTTGAATGAAAAAATGGAATCTTATACAAAACCAACCACTAATCATTTTCTTACAAAAAAGGAAAATCGTTAAAGGAGATGCTCGTTAGAGCCGAAAAAAAAAAGGTTAACAGAGGGTTCCACGCCCGTATAGATGTGCGGCTTGTCAACCTTTGTATTTTCTCGTACAACAGGTTTGTGAGTATTTTAGCAATAATTCTAGCTGGCTGTGTTTTATATAACAAGTGTAGTCAACTGTCTCGTTAGTAGTTAGTAAAAAATAAGGTGTCCCACCCCTTAAGGGTAGCTGAAAATTGCCCGACCCACCCCTTTCACAAGGCTCAAAACCTCATGACCCACCCCCTCTCTGCTCCGGCCCACCCCCGCCTATACTTTTTGACCGGTCCCTTATAGACAATTCTAAATTTAGCGACTACGTAGCCTAAGTATCAGGCGTTTCAGGGGGAAAGGGGGAGGAGAGAAGCAGAAAGAGCAACCTCGTTCTCATCTCCTCTACGAGTCTTTGTAGCTGGGTATTCTGAAGTTGCTCCTCTTTGGTTTACCTGGACTAGATTAACATCTCCCTCTTTTTCGAATTCGTTGTCTTCGCCATTGATTTCCTCATGTCCTTCTTCTTCGTCGTCGGTATTCTCTTGGAGTTCTCTAGCCACCATCCTTGCAAGATCAGCGGCAAATTGAGAAACTTCCAATTTTTCATCGGTGCGTTTCCAGTTCTTTACTAAATCAGTATCCACTTCCAATTTCGAGGGATCAACTTCGACTCCGTCAGTACTTTCTTCCGCAGGGTCGAATGGCAGCCCTAAGAAGGACTTCCTCAAACTTGTCTTACCCGCTCGATCTTGACCTATCAGCATGATTCGGGTTCGATACACCTTTACTTTTCCAGTCTTCAAAGCATTTTCATACGCAATCTGTGCTTCTGGTCCTCGTGCTTTGATCTCGCTCGGAACTAGATATGTAAAACACTTGTAATACAGTTTTACGTCACAAAAATAAAGGTTTCAATGTTTCTTAGGTCTTAATAAAAGGAGATGTTTCGGATAGTAATTGTATGAAAGGGTCGAGCAAAATGCAGAAGAAAGAAAGATAACGCTAAGAACATCTATTGTTTTTAGATACCTTTCGTTGTCATTCGTTTAGATTTAAAATCGTATTCATTTTACCCATAAAAGTATCCATGAGCAAAGTGTTTTTTTAAAACAGTTTAGCAGTTTTACAGTTTTAGCATTTAAAAATGCTGGTGTTAGACAGCTCTTACTAGCATTTGCACCCCAGCGATTTATTTTCTCCGTTTCTGATTGGCTCAATATATTTTTTTTCATATCCAGCTACCGTTGACCAAATTTGAAAGACGTTCGCAGATATCGGTACAATTGTCACCGATTGTGCAGATTATTACACATTGTACTCTGTCTTCTCATTGATTGGTTAAAAGCCTACAGCTAATGATTTCCAATAAAAATGTCAATTCAAGTTCCTTGCAAATTTGTTTGTCGTTATTTTCTTTACAACAATGTATAATAGAACAATTATTAGATTCGGTTTTTGTGATATCCTAAATAATCAAGGTCTAGGTAAGTGTTATCAGCCTCGGCCTTCGGCTCGGCTGATAACACTTACCTTGACCTTCATTTTTCCGGATATCACAAAAACCTCATCAAATAATTGTTTAATATCGACAAAAAAAGGGATAGCAGAAGGCGCCAAAGCTTAGCTGTTTTGGCAGCGATGGAAAAAATGGAGGGAAAAAAACAGCAACTCAGCAGACTTAAAGTTACGTATTGTCGTCGTACTCGGGTCATTTCGTCGATTCACGATGCGGTAAGAGTAGACGCCAACTTTACATCGATTGAGGTAAGTATGTTTTTAAACGGAAAAAACCCTTGATCTGCATATAAATTAGCAATTATTAAAGGAGCTGTGTCACGAAATTCAGCCAAATTAGGAAATTACAAAATGCCCGTTAAATTAAGAGAAATATAAAAATAACCAGCTAAAACATTAAAGGAAGGTTTAAATAACACAACACAAACAACAGATGCCACGGATGGGCAAAACTGAAGAAAATTGAAACGGATTGAAATTAGGGTTTTTGAAAACTGTTTAGCCTAATAGTTTTTCAAAGTTGATCCCTGCTGCTTGCAACTTCAAAAATAATGCTCAGGAGACATATTTGTTTGTCTCAGATCTCTGATTTTGTCATTTACATGTAATTTCTTTGCTTACTTTAAGTTCCATGGCGATTGAGGGCGAGTAATTGGCAAAATTAAACAAAATGAACTGTACTGCCATGACACAGCCCCTTTAAGTATTGACTAGGGCTGAGTATGATCTGAAGAACAGCTGTTGTTGATTTTTGATGTTCTTGCTAAAAAGGGCAGTTCAGCTATTTCTTCAGTTCGCAAACGTGTAAATTTTCCCGCCATTTTCTCCAGCTCTACCCAAAAAACTGAGCTGAGCTAACTTGCCTCTTTGCCTTCTGCTGGATCGCTCTGACTTCATAATATAATTTTTATGTGTGTATAAAACTAATTACTCTTCAAAACTCCCACCAACCTATATTATAGAACTAGTTAGATTGTGTACATTTGAACGTATTACTAATTTTTCTCTGAAATTTTGTATCTTTTGTGAACACCATACTGCTTCTATTTGTTTCTAATGTGTGTTTGCCTACGCCCCACCTGAAAATCATCTTGTGCATGTGTTGTGTGTGGCCAGCGTAGTGAAATAAATGTGTTGATTGATTGATTGATTGACTGATTGATTGATTGACTGATTGATTGATTGATTGATTGATTTAGTGAGTAACTGACGTTTCCAGGGCTTCTCGGTTTCCGTGCCTTATTTGACTTATTTTGGCAATGACCCTACACTATTGACGTCATTTTTTTCCGATATCGCAAGCGTTCTTCATACACGGTCAACGCTAACTGGACCAATCATTTACGGACGGAATTTTGTCTGTTCTCGCACTGGTTTAATTTGTTTCATGATGTGTGTGAAAGCAATTTTTGACCATCTTTTGATAATTTTAGTTGCATCGTAGCTTGTTGTCTGTAAGAGTGTAAGAGAGATTTTTTTGTTCAATTTCAGCGGGTCCTCCTGATAAATGCTCTTCATTTATAAATCATTTTAAAATTAGTCTCTAAAAGGACTTAACAAAAACGTTACATTGAGTCATCCTTACCGTGCTCAACTGTGTGAGTCGGGAGGTACCACCAATCTAGAACAATATGTGCTTCTTCTTCCAATTGCTCATTTTTCATTGCCTTGGCAAGTTTTAGCGCTTGTCTGCTGTATTCAACGCTTTCTTTAAATTTGGAAGTCAAGCGGTATAACCGGCCTAGAAGAATACATGCTTCTGCTTCCAGTTCACCATTTTGCAACTCCTTGGCCATTTCCAGTGACTTTTTGCTGTAAAATTCGCATTGTTCATAGTTTTTACTGGCATTATGCGACCAGGCCAAAACAAAGCATGCTTTTGCTTGCAGTTCCCGATTATTAACTTGCTGAGCAATCTTCAGTGCTTTTTTGCTGTATGCTATGCTTTCTATTAATTCGTGAACCCTGTAATATGACCAAGCTAGAGCACAGTACGCTGCTGCTTGCAGTTCCCTATTTGTCACATCCTGGGCAATGCTCAGAGATTTTTTGCTCTGTGATTTGCTTTCTTTGTAGTCTTTAGTCGCATCATTCGACCAAGCTAAAGCATAACACGCTTTTGCCTGCAGCTCTTTATTATTCACCTCCTTGGCACTACTCAGTAAGCGGTTGCTGAATTTTTTGCTTTTTTCATAGTTTCCAAACATATAATACGAGCAGCTCAGAACATGGTACGCTTTTGCTTGCAGATCCATATTTCCCACTTCCTTAGCAATATCCAGTAATTGATAGCCATATCTTTTTCCTTTTTTATAGTCACCAACTTTATGACATGACCATGCTAGCACGTGACAAGCTTCTGCCTCCCGTTCCCCATTTCTAATTTCCTTGGCAATACTTAGTAATTGTTTACCATATTCTTGGCTATCTACATGTTCTTCAGTCTCGTAATACGACCAAGCTAGAAAATGACACGCTTTTGCTTGTAGTTCCTTACTTCCTACTTCCTTGGCGATACTCAAAGATTTTTTGCCGTATTCTCTGCTTGGTTCATAGAATGCAACCTCGTAAAACGACCAAGCAAGAACGCGGCAGGCTTTTGCCTCCAGTTCCTTATTTCCCAATTCCGTGGCAATTCTCGCTGATTGTTTGCCGTATTCTTGGCCTTGTTTATAGTCTCCAGCACTATAATAAGACCAGGCTAGGTTATAGTACAATAATGCTTCCTGCTTTTTATCTCCCACTTTCTTGGCAATATCTAATGATCGTTTTCCAAAGGTAATACTTTGTTTATACTCCTTGACTTCATAATAAGAGTCGCATAGAACCTCGCACGCCTTTGCTATTTCCATCTTATTTCCCATTTCTTTGGCAATGCAGAGCCCTTCATTGGCAGCACGTATGCATTCTTTAAATTTCCCTCGTGTTTTTAAGTCTTCAGCTTTCTTGATTCTTCTCATGGCACTCGTTACACCTTTCATACTCTTCTTTTTCCCTGCTCCTGATATCATCTCTAAAAAAAAGCTTTAAACTGTTGAAAAACGAATTATAATAACAGCTATATTCACGCACCCGTTTTCAACCACGTTTTCATCGAGAGGAACAGGGGCTGGTTGTTTATTACCCGTGAGGCTCGTGCCTGCCATTTTGAGAAAGCTTAGAAGGTTTTCAAACCGACCCGGCCCCCAATTCTTCATATATAGCTGTTTAGAAATGACCCCCCATAAATTGTACATATTGTGAAAGTGACCCCCTCCCCGCCTGATTGCAGTGGAAACTATACAGCGAATATTCTTGCTACAAATCCTGTCGAAGCTCACCACATACTTTATCTACAATCGATCTTAACTATTTACGGCTGTTCAAGAGAGGATAGGGCTTTATCCTCTCTTCAGCTGTTACATTCAATTTCAATTCACGCTCATTACTGCATTGTACTACTTTGATGAAATGTATAAAATGACTCCCCAGGTAACGCTCACTTATCTGAAAATGACCCCCCAGCAAAATGGCCGGTAATAAACTACCAGTCCCTTGGATAGACACATGCTCTTGTTTAGTTGCGCTTGTGGAGGTGTACATCACAGCAGTAATCGGGGCACTTGACGAGAAAATTCGTTTACTGAAAAAAATATATATATGTTTCTTGCGTGTCATTGTTGGTGAAAGACATTTTGCTTGTAACTTTCCTTGGATGAATTATCCCATGTATTTTAAGTTTTTGAACTTGTTAATAAGTTTACCGGAAGGAAAACAGGAGAAATTAAAAGGAAACAGTTGATTTTGCCCAATAATCCTCTTCTTGAAACCTCTATAATCGTGGCCCCCCGGGAAAAAGGGTCAACTCTTGTTAAACGACCTTGAATGGAGCTGTAAGGTGGGGGGGAGGGGGGTGTCAAAAAACCGGGACTAAGCGGGTGTAAGGAACCTCACAGACCCCCCAAAAACCCAGGCCCATGGTTGTCTCGAAAACTCAGACCCCCTAAAATACAAACGCTTGCTGTCGTCTTAAATACCTTTAATTCAACCTAACTATAATTTTTTGGAAATGAAATAAAATGAAATTAATTGAATGTCAAATGCATTGCCGTAGTAGGCCACCGTAGAAATAAGCTAAGAAGTTTTCAGTTCAAACTCATCCACAATATTCTAATTCCAACCAACCAGTGCCTTTGGAAAATGAACGTTAAATCTTCTCCAAAATGTGAACAATGTGATGTTCCCCGTGAAACTATTAGCCATATATTTTACGAGTGCCCTGTCATCAAAATTTTTTGAAAAAAGTCATAGATTGGTGGAATCGTAAACGTTCTGAAAACAAAAATCCCAATCCAACGGAAGCTCTTTATGGATACAAACCTGAATCTAACAGCTTTCATACTTTTAACCATTATCCCTTAATTGCTAGATATTATGTTCACTTAGGCAGAAACAAGTTTGAGACTCCCGAACTGGAGGTTTTCAATGTTCTCCTGGAAAAAAAATTCAGTGCGAAAGAGAAATTGCAAAAACAAACGGAAATATCATCGAATACAGAAATAGTGGACCACCCTGTGCATTTCTGATTAGTGTTGATTTATAGTCATTTAGCAAACGCGCGCTATTAGTATTTTTCTATTTGTTCTCCCACTTGTTGTTAATGCCGTGGATCATTTGTCCATTTAATTTTCAATTCAAAAACAAAATTTGAAAATAGATGTCAATTTTTGATTTTCCAATTGTTTTCTTCCTGCATAATGGATGAACATGTTTCATAACTCTTTTCACCGTTTTCCCCTGTAAACAAATATGAGAAAATAAACACACAGCTCTTATTTTCTACAGTCAATATGAAAAAGATTATCGAACCATGGATATTTTAGCTATTCGCGGGAAAACCATTTCCGCAGTCATTTCTCAATTACAATGACGTGAATTTGGAAGATTATTCAAAATTGAATGTTGCGATCAATTTTCAATTTTTGTTTTTCGGAAAAAGAATTGATCAATCGATCGCATTGCAACTGACAAAAGTAACAAAAGGAGAGGACCCAAGTGCGGAAGTGCCCAGGAGGGGAGGGGTAAGGGCGTAGGGACTTAAGTTGGAAGGAAGGAGGAAGGGGCCTTTTACTTCTCCCTGCTACCCTCAATTACATGGCTTATTTTGGCCTAGAAGGGTATGTGCCACAAAACAGGTTGTGGATATCTGGCTATTCAATAAACCGGCTCCTGACGATTTGACTGTTTAGCGCCTTTAACATTGTGTCGCTTGGAAAGAGTGTGAATTAAGGTCGGCGATAAGCGGTGTACATGTGCGGTACCAACAATTAAATTCCATGACGTTAGTAAATTGAAGGCCTCGGCGGCACAACCTTCCCCAAACTTTCCTTCATGCCAACCCCCCCCCCCCCCCCCCCCCCCCCCCCCCCCACTCCTTCTCGACCTATTTTTTGACTGGTATTGTGTTCGAAAAATAAAAAAAAAAATTATTATAAACACTAAATAAAATTTTAAATTATATATAAATAAATACACATACCAAATCAAAAATTTTCTACACTACAATTCCCATTCTACCTCCTTCCCCCCCTCTCTCCTCCACTCAGGATTTTCCTTTTTTACCCTCTTAAATTTTGGGCCATTGGAAAAAGTGTGAAATAAGGGCGGGAATAAAGGGTTGCAAGGTGCGGTACCAAAAAATAAATTCCCAGGAGTTAATAAATTGAAGGCCCCGGCGGCCCAACCCCCCCCAACCTTCCCCTCCTCCCCCCCCCCCCCCCCCCGCCCCATCCTCGAGATTTACTCTTAAGGGGAGTTCGTTTGAAGCGGATCTGGTACAAAAAATTAATACCAAAGTTTTTTTCCAAGACTTAATTAATTGTTATACTGGCAGGTAAAAACGATCAGCTCTCCTTCATTATCCTAATCATCATCTCTCCTATACTTCCTCCCTTCTCCCCCTACACTTGAAAGTTTGATGCACGCTTTTACAAAGCGAACAGCTAGGCAATGAAGACTAAACTACAGAAACTACAGTTAATAAAAAATACAAAAAAGCAAGAAAAATTCAAGCAAAAAGACCCAACCGAGCAACAACTTCCTTCCTACAGGGTTCCAGCACCTCATATCACAAGTGGTTTTCCGCGTGTATCCCATTTTTCAAGCAACCTTCTTACGGAACGCGAACTAAAGTCTTTCTTTCCAGAACCCCCTTCTTGTAGAAACAATACTGACTTGTGAGTGTGTTTTGCCCTGCGTAACAACAATATCTCTCACGAACCCGATAAAGATTTAAAGATTAAAGGCTCAGGTTTACGGTGGAAAGTGCACTTAGCTTATCCAGCTAGTTTACAGACACTCAAGTCAAATACTTAGAAACAAAATTCAAATACAACATAACAGGATTTAAAACTCCAACTGGCAGGAGGCAATCAGTTGGCTATTTATAAGGTCTATAAGCGTGGCCGAGGATTTGAACACGGGAAGACCTAGAGATCAAATCGAGCAAGTCCCCAGAGCGGGACTAGAACCCGGGACTGCCGGATTGCGAGTCCGAGGAGTTTACTACTCCTCGGCCACGCCGCCTTTCTTGATGTTTATGTCGCCCATATGTAGACGGAAAACAGCTCCAAGAAACTGTCGCGGACAACTACAAGGTCCCTTCCTGCCCACCATGTCAAAGGCGCTAAACAATGAAATTGTTAGGAGCCGACTACATGGAAATCCACAATCTGTACAGCGGCACATACCCATCTATTGTAGGCCAAAATAAGCCCTACAAATGAGGGTAGCATGGACAAGTAAAACTAAAGGCCCCTTTCTCGTTCCTTCCCACAATAAGGTTTTAAGAACCAGAATTGAGACATGTACCAGCTTGTTATCAACGACGTTTTGACCCTTAACTGCAATAATTTTTGGAATTTCCGGTTAGGTCAAATTAGTCACACTATATTTTGGGGAGCAGAGAGGTGTACGACAAGGTGGTATTCTGTCGCCGCTTCTATTTTAACCTAGCTTTATATAAACGAACTACCCTTCATTCTAAATAACAATGCTAAAGATTCTATCTTACTACCTCGGCAGAAGGTTTTGCAACAAAGTCTTGACAGACTATCAAAATATTGGCAGGATTGGCTTCTTAAGATTAATCCAACTAAAACCAAAGTTATTGTATTTCAGAAGACAAGTAGAAAATCAGCAATAGATAAAGACAATTTTATGGTTAGCAATGAAAACATTGAAATCGTCAATGATTATACCTGTCTTGGAGTGAAATTTTCTGCCAATGGAAATTTTACAAATCACAAGGAAAACTTAACAGAAAAAGCAAAGAGATCCTTTTTTGCCGCTCGTCGTTATCTAGATTTTCTAAAATTACCAATTCACATCATCAAGAAACTGTTCAATACTCTATTTTTCCCAGTTTTAACGTATTGCTCTGAAGTTTGAGGAATCTATGATAAAAGTGATTATAGAGGATGGGATAAAGACTCGATTGAGAAAACGCATATACATTTTTGTAAGATGTGTTTAGGTTTAAACCAACGTTCACCGAATGTTGCATCGAGAAATGAACTTGGTAGATTATCTCTAAATTTACAAATAACAATGAACATTTTCAAGTTTTGGATTCACTTTGAAAATCAACCCCCTGACAGCATCGCTAAACTCTACTTAAACATATCGGATAAAATGGCCGAAGAAAATACATCAGGTCTAATAAATAAAATAAATCTTTTGAATACACAACTTAATTTTCATAAACAATCAGTTAACTTTAAAAACCCTTCTACTTTCCTATCCAAAGCTGAGAATAATTTGTCAAAACACCTTAAAAAACACCAGCTAAATTTGATAAGAACAAATAAAAAACTAAAATTCTACTTCATCTTTAAAAATGAAACAAATCACTCTGAATTCTTCAATCATATCCGGAATCCTGAAGATAGGCATGTAGCTTCCAAATTTAGGATAGGAAATCATAATTTAAAAATAGAAACTGGAAGATTTACAATCCCCAAAACTCCTGAAGACCTTAGAATCTGTGATCATTGCAACCAAAATTCGGTTGAAAATGAACTGCACAAATTATTTTACTGCGATCAATACAGTGATTTGAGAAAGACTCATTTTATTAAAATCAACGACCGAAATACATTATTTACAAATTGCAATATCCATGATAAAGTCTGTTTTCTTTTTAACAATACTGATTCACCGGGCTAGCTGCTAATTTCGTCTCTCAAGCATTTGAAAGACGAAAGAAACATAGTTAATTCTACCGTTCCATCACATCGTCATTTCCTTAAATTTAGCTGTTTATTATTTTGATTTTAATCGGTAACACCTGTACAAAATGGTAATACTGAATAAACTTGTTGTTGTATTTCAATTCTATACTTGTTGCGAATTCTACTTCCTGTTGCGAATCTGTATAATCTGTCACAGAGAAAACGTAACGCTTCCTCGCACAATTTCAATTTCTCGAATATTTCCATGCACTGAATAGAAAAGGCTGTGGCCGTAAATAATTGGTTACGAGACACNAGGTCTAATAAATAAAATAAATCTTTTGAATACACAACTTAATTTTCATAAACAATCAGTTAACTTTAAAAACCCTTCTACTTTCCTATCCAAAGCTGAGAATAATTTGTCAAAACACCTTAAAAAACACCAGCTAAATTTGATAAGAACAAATAAAAAACTAAAATTCTACTTCATCTTTAAAAATGAAACAAATCACTCTGAATTCTTCAATCATATCCGGAATCCTGAAGATAGGCATGTAGCTTCCAAATTTAGGATAGGAAATCATAATTTAAAAATAGAAACTGGAAGATTTACAATCCCCAAAACTCCTGAAGACCTTAGAATCTGTGATCATTGCAACCAAAATTCGGTTGAAAATGAACTGCACAAATTATTTTACTGCGATCAATACAGTGATTTGAGAAAGACTCATTTTATTAAAATCAACGACCGAAATACATTATTTACAAATTGCAATATCCATGATAAAGTCTGTTTTCTTTTTAACAATACTGATTCACCGGGCTAGCTGCTAATTTCGTCTCTCAAGCATTTGAAAGACGAAAGAAACATAGTTAATTCTACCGTTCCATCACATCGTCATTTCCTTAAATTTAGCTGTTTATTATTTTGATTTTAATCGGTAACACCTGTACAAAATGGTAATACTGAATAAACTTGTTGTTGTATTTCAATTCTATACTTGTTGCGAATTCTACTTCCTGTTGCGAATCTGTATAATCTGTCACAGAGAAAACGTAACGCTTCCTCGCACAATTTCAATTTCTCGAATATTTCCATGCACTGAATAGAAAAGGCTGTGGCCGTAAATAATTGGTTACGAGACACCCAACAGTCTGAGTTTTCCGGGGTTCTGAAGGACTGAGTTTTCGTATAAAATTACTGCGACTTTAAAGCAAAGTCAAATAAAGTATATAGCTGAAACTTTTCGTCTCGAAGACTAAATTAACGGCTAGTAAAGAAAACAAACTTTAGCCTCCTTTATTCTCCATGTTGGACCGCCATAACCAATGCAGCTTAAATGCAGCAAAAAGTGACATCAGAATAGTCAGAATGACTGTCATTCTGACTCAGTGACAATTGACTGAAACAAACGCGAAATCAAAATCACGTACAGTCACACACACGTACCTGTAGTCTGTGTAGTGGCCACGAAACTTTGCTGAGACTTTACACAGTGATTCCTTTTACTCTTACTGGTTTATACCCAGCGAAAAAAAGAACTCGAAAACAGATCAAAACGCTTGCTTGCTTCTGCTTGCAAAGTTCGTCAAGAGCGTCGCGAAGAGGTTCGAGTCTGTCAACGATTAAAATCACGTGAATGACGTTCGAGTGAATATTTTTAAAACGTGAAGGTATTTCTAGTTGCCTGCGTGCAGACGTCTCCTATTTCTTTTGTTGCACGCGTAAACAATGGAAATAGGAGACGTCTGCACGCAGGTAATATTTCTAGGAAATACGAGGTGGCTCAGCAACTTTCATTTTTATTTGCATTCGCATTTTTCTATCGTTATTTACATTTTCTCTGCGTTTTTTGTTTTGGATTTTCATATAGACCTTGTCACGGTTTTCGACGCCATCTTGACGAGAAGGTAAACGTGTGAGAAATTATAGTCGGTGTGAGAAAAAATATGAATTGTAACAGCTAAAGCTACAAAGCAAAGGATTGTCCTAAAATATTTTGGGGGCGTACCTGTGCTTAAATTTCTCCAGAGGCTTGCTTTAGATTTTCCATATATTTGTCTGTAATTTTTCCCGGGACTTTCCTAGGCCATCCCCTTTCTTTTTTCGTTTAGTCGAATGCGTTTCCTGATATTGGGTCGGTCGGTCGGATTGAAAAAAAAAAAACCTAAAAAACAAATCGCAAGAAGTCTCGGAATAGGAGGCCCTTGTACCCCAGGACGACGTTAAAAGTTAACATCAGGGGCAGATCTAGGGGGAGGGTGCAGGGGGTGCGTACCCCCCCCCCCTCGAGAGGACCTGCGGTTTTCTAATACAACTGGTATTCTGCAAAAAAAACCTGTGTGATTTATGGGTGTTGAAGTAGAGCAAGAGACGATTGTACCCCCTCCTAAAAAAAACCTGGATCCGCCCCTGTACATTCATATACTTGGATTAACAAAATGTACAATATACTGTAAAAAATGTTCATGTTTTTGGTCCTCTTTTTCTTTATGCTGTTACTATGTTCATTTATCAGACTAAAAGAATTATTTCAAGTGAAAAATGGTTGAACTACTTTTTTTTTTTGAAAATACCAAAAATTTGGGTCTGTCGGACGACGCTAAACGGAGAAAAAAAAGCTGGGATGGCCTTACAGACAAATGTATAGAAAATTTTAAAAAGTGGTTCTAGGTCTTCTAGCGCATGTAATAACGCCCTCAATTTTTTTCAGTAGAATTCTTAGGAGTGAAGCTTTAGTTTACAATTTTTTTTTTTTTCAGAACAGCCGTTCTACGGAAATTATTCGGCATTAGATTATCATACAAACACTGCCGGTAATTTCTCACGCTTGCGTACTCGTCAAGATGGCGTCGAAAACCGTGACAAGGTCTATTAAAGCAACGTTCAGTGAGTTGATATTCATAGTATCTTTTAAAAATTTGTTTACCAATTTGTTTGCACCAGATGTCTGATGCGAAGGAAAGACAGAAAAGTGAATCTATAGTATGAGGATCGAATCAGCTATGCCAGCGGTTCTAGTTTTCATTAATGTGCAGCTTTACCCAATTTCGCACAAAACATAGCCTTAATCTGGGATTAAAAGAGTAGATTGCCGATACTAAAGCACTGAAGCGTTCAAAATAGATCGTGCACGTAAAACGTGCCTATGTTTATATTAAGTAGTTCCCATGTTAAAGTGCTACTACGATCAAAATTTAATGTCAAGTTTGTTACAAAAACGCTTTCTTTTCAGCTTATCAGAAGTGGCTGTACCTGTTTCGGTCATTGAAGTGAACTTTGGCGCCCTCTAAGTGAAAATGTTGAGCTTGAAAATGTGGGTTTTTCGCGTCCGCCATTACAAATTTATGTTCCAGTGACAAAGCTATTGTTCTCTGATTGTGACGTCATTTTCTGAACGCCCCAAGAAAACAAACCTGAACCGTGAGAAAACAGCGAGCGATTCTCAAAGCTTCGCTCGTCTTCGCCCGATTCTGGAATTGTGAAGGAGGAAATCATAGATTACGATGACTCTGTAGAACCAGCACCGACTGAATATGAGAATGTCAAATACTAAGGGCAGCTAGCCGCAGAGAAGGAAAAAAACACACTTCACCAAGTCGTATTTTATGCAGTTTGTGCCGACGGAGATTCGGAGTACTGGTAGGTGTATTTGTATACGTACTAGCTATAATAATAATACACAGGCAAGACGATCGAGAGTCCGCACCAATTTCACCTGCCTTCTAGCCACTCTCGAGTGCTCATTTATCCAAGTGTAGATAAAGTTTTGCTTTATAGCTCTTCAGGCACAGCGAATCAGAGTGGGTACAGTTTTCTGTTCAGCTAAGTTTCAGTTCTAAAGCAGCCAGCTCGTTGTCATATGCATATGTTTTTTTTACCATCTTAAACGGACTGCTGTCCTTTATTATTGAAAATTTAATTGTTACTTTAGTGTTACGTATCTGAGCTGAGGATTTTAGATCTAATGTTAAGTTCTCTTTGTCAGAAAAGTTAATTTACTCATTTTCAATACAAATAGATAAATAAGGGGATCGCTCGCTCTTGATTTGGTCATAGTTATTAGAGAAGACTGGTTATGAAAAGCGGCAAACATCAATGATAAAAACAACAGTGCTGCAGTTTATGTTGAAAGCATCCTGAAAGTGCACAATCCTTTGTTTTCTGTTGGCAAATTGTTACGGAATAAATTAATGCAACGTTTTTATTGGTCAATACAATCAAAATGATAGGAATTCTTTTGAACGTTGTGCACTTTCAGGTCCACAAAAACATATAACAAAGGAGTCTGACGGGTTTCATAACCATTCCACTCAATTAACTATGATTTGGTATATCAATTTAATAGTTTTCAGTGCTGACGTTAAAGACTGTCACATTCTTTGTAGCTCATGTTTTTTTTGAAAAGGCTGTGTCTGCCTATGCCTTCCCTATCAATTGACTGCAGACCATTATTGCAAGTTATAAATTGCAACGCTAATAAAAATTCAGAGATTTCACCTCATCCAACTATTGGCAATGATATCCCCTTGTATTCCTAAAACTTTTATAGATAACTTCATGAAATTGTTGTATGTGACGTTTTTTTTAATTTATTTATTATTCAAACCCAGGTGTGCATTTTTTGGATGCTCTACTGAGACCAGCTTTGAAGCGTTGGCTAGGCAAGAAAATATATACAGTGGAAAGGTTAATACAGACATGTTATGATGTCTATATTATCTGGGTGTCCATATTAAGTTAGCTCTCTGGAAAAAAGTGACAGACACGTGATTTATTTTATATATAGCATAAAGGAACAAAGAGGAAGAAGGGTAGGAACAATGACTGAAGCAAAAAGCCAAGGACGTGAAACTTGTTGAGCAGGAGGCAGAAAATTTATCAAAGGACTACAAACAGGGGAAGAAAGAAAGATGTATCAAAGTCAAATGTGTCATGCTATTTGGCTGCAGATGTTTTGGTAATAAAATCTTATTAACCCGTGAACTTGGTACAATGTCTACAATTGGCACATCATTGTGACAAGAAAAATAGAAAGTGCCTGGGTAACCAGTGTCTCTAAAGCTGGTTAAGAATATATAGGAATTATTGACTTGAAACACAGAAAAGTGGTTGTTGTCCACATTAACTACTGTGCGTACTAAGCCTGTTAATTTTAAAGAAAAAATGTATGCTTTTCCTCAGGACAAACAAAACTGCCTGTTATATATGGGTGTCCAATTAAGTGGGTGTCTGTAGATCATAGAGTACTGGGTTATCACTGCATTAATAAATTATTATTATTTTGCAACTAACTTTATGTATTGAAAAACTAAATGGTTCAGTACATCACTAGGTTGCACGATTCTGCTGATAACACAGTGTGCCATAAATTCAATGCCTCTAGGAAGAAGTGTTACACAGTGGAAATTATGTTCATCATGGAGGCCCATCCTTGATTGTGCTCGGTGGGTTTTTCTTGCTGGGTTTTTCCATTGTAAAATATTATTAGAAACTAGCATTTTTAAGAGTTAAAACCCCTAAGAGGGCCTGGGAAGCAGTTTTTAATGTGTGCGGGCTGGTGACCACCTACATTGAGGTGGGGGGGAGAGCAAATTTGGCTGTTCTCTCTTTGTGGCTGTTTAGAACTGTCAGATTACTGAACCTTTCTTGAGTCATTGTTGAGCAGAGTCATGTTCATAAATTTTAAGCCGCTGAAAAGTACCTTTCTCCTGCTGAGCGTGATTGCAAGACAAGACAACATAAGCTTTATTACCAAATAAAAGTTAACTTAATTTACAATATAATATATTAATACAATGTTCAGGCATAGGAGGTAGGTTGGCACTAAAGCTAGAACAAACAAGGAATTAGTAAATAGATAAAAGGAAAAAAAAAAAAAAAAAGGAAAGAAAAAAGACTGAATCCACCACTAGAAGTTTACAGATCATGATATTACACTGTAGGTTCCTGTAATACCTTCATTTTGTCTAGCATGTCATTGAAATGTGCCAGAGACCACATCATCAGCTGATATCATTCGTTTTAAGAAACCGTAGTTCATGGAGTAGTCTTCAGATTTAATCAAGAACCTTCATCAAAAAAGCCTATTCCGCATTATTGCAAATGCTACATAGCTTTGCTGGTTTGAAAATGTAGAAATCTAGGACGATTGACTTTTTAAAGGCTTACCACGCATCAGACTGATGGTATCAAAACAGACCAATAATAAATTTAGATGCTGGAAGATTCTTATTCCAACAAAGATACTATTCATATGAAAATGTATATTACAATGGAACCACTATAACAAAGTCCTCGGTCTAACAAACTATTTTTTTTACTCCAGTAATAGTAAAATATAAGGCAATATGAAAAAGAACCTCGATAAAAGTTAACAAACCTCGTTATAATAAACATATTTTGCCAGTCCCTTGGCCCTTCGTTATATCAAGGTTCCACTGTACTTAATTTTATTTATTTATTTTTCAAAAAGTGGGGAAGCCCCTTTGCCCTGTGTGGGCCCTGCCCTAGCTTGGCTCAGGTTAGATAATACCCCCAAAATAGACTATGCTAAATCAGGCAACAAAGAACAATAAAATTGCAGCCTTTAAACAGTATTACAGCCCTTGGCTTGTTTATTGTAATCACTGGTATGACTAAAAAATAATGGATTTGTATATTGCACACGGTACGTAAGACCTAAACTTGTCCTCCAGGTTCTTAGCTGGGGCCTCACATTTATCTTGTGATCAACAAGTGTGCAGATCAATTGTTACAGTAGGGTAGACAGTGCCTTTGTATGTGGTAAGGGGCCATGAAGCTTCCTCATTTATAGGAATAACATTAGTCTATCCCATATTTAAAGATACACCAAGGTTTTTTGAAGTAGCAAGGCTGTGCTCTAAGAAAAATTGAAAGGAGCCCAGTGCCCCGGACCCGTGAAATCCTGGGTGCACAGCACATGATTTCTATGAAAAAATTTCCTAGTTGCCCCGGAACAATAGTTAAGCACCACGGGCCAACTGGGTGCTGGTAGAGCACAACCTCAAGTAGTGAAACATAAAGCAGCAGTGATGAGCAGGGGCTATGAAACTATCTCATACATGTACATAATCCTCAGTTGCAGTAAATATTTCAGTGACCAAGCCTTGGTGATTATTCATTTTTAACTTGCAATCTGTCAGTCACATCACTTCAGTGATTCAGTGCATGAGTGCCCCTGTGTTGGAGTTTACATCTCAAATTATGATATACTATAATTATAATTATTATAAGTATTCAATGGAAGATTGCAAAACTTTTTGTTATTCACTCAAAAGAATAACAATACACAACATTCAAGATGGATCACAATTTTATTTTAAAGACCACATCAGTAAATCGTAATAATTCTTGCTGTATTTTACAAAATTGCAAAAACAGTTTTTGCAATAAACTTGTGTGGGCTCTCTTGCTTTAGCTTGTGGTTTGAACTGACAATGTGTCTGTGCAGTTTAAATCAGGCTCTGAGTTTTGGGAATACTAAAATTGAAAAAAGCATACCTTTAATTTGTTTAGTGAGGGTTATGGCGACCAGCATGTTGGAAATACTAAGGAATTTACTGTATATTAAAATATCATACCATTCAGATTGCACCATGATCCTGATAGATTTTAATACTTTATAATAAAAATTTACAAATAGAGCTTTAAAGCTTTTTATAAAAGCTCAAAGGAATGTTAATAGTGGTAACAGAAAAAATAGTACACTACAAGAGCAAGGTGTGAGCGATAATAGTGTTTACAAAACTAGAGGGCTCTCTGTGATCTGTTGCCTTAGGGCAAATCTTTTTGAAAGTTTCCTAAAAGTTTCGTTGTCGTCGCGTTCCAGTCGAAGAAAGGTCTAAGAAAAAATTTAACTTCGATGACTTCGCCAGTAGTAAAAGCAAAAATCACCACCGGCGATATAAATCAACTTAGCGTTGGGGACATTCACTGCAAGTTTTGCGAACTGTAAGCTTACCTCCATACGCTCCCTCTTTATGCGAAGATTTCTTTCCGGATTCAAGATCTGTCGATTGATCTTTCGTCCATATGCTAGCAAACGATCCAAGTTTAATTTTCCGCCACTTGTTTGCGTTGAAAGCCCCGTAAATGCTATTGCAGCACTGTTCGAAGTTATCAAACCGAGAAAACAGCGAAACTGTCAGCTGGAAACAAACCTACTCCTCGAATCTCACATTCAGTTGGTCAGACTCGCGTGCAGCTCAATTCTATCGATTGAAGCGGTTGCTGCACACATACGGAGCCTAATGTAGTAAGATCGAAAGAGTATTCCTAAACAAGAACGCATCGAAGTGGGAGGAAAGGGAACATTGTTGAGCAGGGTTCTTAGAAGAAAATTGTCATGCTGTGTGTACTGCGTTAAGTAAATGACGTCACAAAGCAATTGCCTATTGTTCTTGGTAACCAGGCCACAGGAACATAGCGTTTTAATGGCGGACGAAAATTAATGGTTTTTGAGCGTCAAAAAATATCACTTTCCTTAATCGTATGAAGCTATAACTTGCACACCATGTACTTCAAGTACTAAACTGCCAATCTAGCGAAAAAAAATGGTAGTCAAAGATTTGATCGTAGTAGCACTTTAACGCTGGCCTGTTTTTTTGTTTAAAAATGTTGGGTAAAATGATTATTATCATCAACGAACGGACTCTTTCAGTAAGAGTATAGAGTCATAGTCAGCATCTGGGAGGATATCGGACCGTGATAAGCCTTTTTGAATTCTTTGTTAAGAATACTATTACAGTCATTACACCTCTCGAGTTCATAATTTTGTCCATTTTAATCAGCTATCTAGCAAACAATTAATAATTAATTGTAACTTTATCTTAAAGCTTTTGCAACTTCATATAGTCATGCAAGTAAAGCTTACGTTGTTGATAGAAAAAAAACAAAAGACAAAAAACCCATGTTTTTTTTGTAAATTTTAGAAATGTAGAAAAAATCTACAATGTAGAAGTTGAAAATTTTAAACACGGAAAATATGGCCTAAACTATCTTTTTCTTCGCTCTTCTTGGTCCCGTGGACAATGTCTCTAATGATGTGAAAAGTATTTTACTCAATCTTAGCTTTCCTTAAGGAAAAAAATATCGGTAATAGAATTTAATGTTGATATAACTCTGAAATTGAATCACACGTTTTTTGAATCCCGCTAATTTATTTTTTACATGATAAAATCATGGCCAGGTTTTTTTCAATAACATTTTATTCAATTTATTTTACATTGGAAAAAAGTTTACAACAAGATAATTGAGATTATTGTGATTATGTCTCATGAAAATTATTATAAATAATTTACCGTATTTAAATCCTTCCCCATTTAAATCTAATAAAACAACCAGTTGTATTTTAGTGCATAAAAGGCATCGAAAAACTTAGCTTGTACATATCAAAAGAATCGGTGATTTTGCAATGACAAGTAATCTTTATTGCTTCAATAATTTATTTCAGTTTTGCATGCTAGACCTTATAGAAGGACTTTCGAACTGAAAGACTTAAAAAGCCGGTTCCGTTAGGACCCAGACCACCCAATCCCCCGCCCTGATAGTGAGCAAAACAAATTGGATTTTTTTACCGGAAAAATCAGCTTTTATTTCGCTTTTTATTGAAGCACCGAATTCGAAAAAAACAAAAATTAATTTTTCATTATTTTATCAGGTCCAGCTTTTACCTACAAAATAGGTATTTTTTTTTTACTTTACCTATTCACTTTTATTTATTTATTTGTTTACTGAACAGAATCATAGACGGTACTAAGAGTAATTCCAAGCTTAGAGACAATATTTTTCAACAATTTTGTGACAATTCAATCGCAGGGATATGAATTTTGGTAAAGGCCTCCCTAGTGAACAGGAAGGATGTTCAGCACATCCAGTTGACTCTGTCTTTGGTGGCAGGACCAGGTCCAGCGGCAGGAGTAAAGATCTCCTTCTTTCCACCTCCTTCCAGCACCAGGGTTTCCCCTTCCCGTCTGAGTGAAGTCAGACTTTCCAGGATGGAGGTAGCCTCATTCTCCAGCTGCTGGAGCTCTGGAGACGGCATCATCATTGTTGACATGACTGGTCCTGGCACAAGCTTACCATCAGCACCCTGAGTTGCATCACAGGATATAATGTTGGCCACCTCGGCTGCAATGTGCCAGGCTCCTTCTCCAGTTTTCTCAATCATCACCTTGAACCTCCCCTGCCAGTCTCCCTCCACCCCTTGTCTTGGAGTGGGAACAAGCTGGAAAGCAGCCAGGTTAGAAGTAGCAGTCTCAGAGATTGTCACACCCTGTCCTGGTTCATCCATAGAAACCGCTGGACGGAACTCCACGCCACTGTAGCCAGAAATATCAAATGCCACTCCAAGTCCACTTCCATTTTTAGAGAATGCCAGCACAGTCTTGTCACCAGTCTCCTCCAACCGCATTCCAATGACATCACCATCACCAAACTTAGGTCCCCAGTTACTGGTCACCAGGCTACTACCATCACTCAAGTTGCCCGGCCCGCCATAGAACAATCCCTTCATCCCCCAACCAGCCGCAAACTTATCCTCAGCAGAAACTCCCACCCAGGTTCCGGAACTTCCAGTCACTTTAAACTCCCAACTCCCAGTTCCGCCTTGACTCCAGATAGCATTCCCCTTGGAGTTGCCACTCCCAGTGAAGCTAACCTTTGCTCCAGAAACTGTCAGGTTACCAGATCCATCATCTCTCCATGCCATATTGTTGAACTGATACTAGAGCTGGATTCTCCTGTGTTAATGTAAGTAAAGGTTAGGCTACACTTTTAGAGGTTTATAATTGACAAGGCATACATGGGAAAATGTCCCCACAAAAAGGAAGAGAGCGTGGGGACATTTTTGTTTGGAGCCCTTCAAAAAAAAATAAAATTATTATTATTACTATTCTTTGTTAACATGTGTTTTTTTCTTCAGTTGATGAAGTCATCTATTGGAAAAACCACTGACCACATTTTCATTGCATTGAGAGTTCAAGTATTTATCCTCAATTATAATTTTTTTCATAGGTTTAAGATGCCATCAGTTTTGTTTCACTGGCTAAAATAAAAAAAAATGGTGTTTGGAAAAATGGATTACCTTAAACGCCCCATAGAAATTGAAATCTTGTGTTTAAAAAATGAAATAAGCCTACTAATTCTAGCCTGTGTGGCTGGCAGGTTTGTTATGTGCATGCTAGGCATTTTTTTTATGTGATGGGGAAATAAAATTTGACTTGCATCCAAACTTGTGGCTCTGCTACCAAAAACAACAGCACGTCCCCCACTTATCCCACCAGCTGGCTATAACTAAATCAAATGGAATCAACTGAAAAAAATTATTAAAAATTAAAACTATTGTAACTGCTGCAAGATAAATAATTATTTTTGCCTAGAAGTTACTTATTCATGTGGTAACCTTTTACGACATTACAGCAATAAATTTTCCCTCTGAACCATCAGTACCATCAGGATCAGCAGAAAAAAGTTATCTTTACCGTAATGAAAAGGTGATTGCACATGGAGACTTGCATTGTCCATAAAATCAAAGTGTTTTAACAAGATGGGACTTGCAATTATGAGAAGTAAAGAAGGGATAATGCTGAGTTTACAGATGCTGAAATCTCTGCTGGAAATTGTTGTTGAAATATGATTGGAATGTCTGGCTGTTAAAAATTCTCCGGAAAAACTGATCCAATCCAGAGTTGGTCCTAACTTATTTTGAGCAGTGAGTCTTGTCCGGCCAACACTTTACCATTTCAATTGCCCAAAATTCGAGTCTCACCTTTGCAAAAAGTAATCAAAATTAAGGTCTTAACTTAAATAGAATGCTTTGACCTAGTTGGAAACTTTGCTTCAAGAATATTAAAAATGTTATTACGTTTTTATTGGCAAGATCTACTGGTTTCTAACCAGCTTGTTTTGCAAAATGGCAAGCACCCTTATGATGGCTTAAATGCATACATGATTGAAATGTTATGCAACAAACAGTATGAATATAAGGGATATAAGGAAAAAAGACATTGCTATATATAGTCTTTTTTAACTCTTCATGTAGTTCTGCTGATATAACCGAACTAAAATCTCCCAAACTTCTCACCACCTTTTGAAAACATCACATGATTTTCCCAGTCTAAACCAAAGTTGGAACCTCTCATAAACCACAATAAATAAACTATTAATTCTCAAAATTATGCAGTGCTGTTGTGCTGAATACAAACACCAGTGACACAATTAGATGCAGGGTTAGTCTGAAGGAAGGCATCTAAAAAACTGAAAATTACCAAAAGACTAAGATGAGAATTAAACAGGTCTTTGGTTCAGTACCTTTATTAATTAAGCGATCACGGTCAACTCGAAACTGAACAGTTTGTTAAAATTATGAAATAAATTAAAGTTGATTTCAAATTATCAAATATTTATGTTATACTACTAGCCTTTTATCCACTGGTTAAAATATCTGCTTGTTGGAGTGGGGATGTGGGATAAGGTAATAACAAAGAATCCTATCATTCAGAAATAAGGCTAGTGCAGTCAACAAGTAGAAGAAAAATATGACAAAGAAAGGAAGCCTATTCAAAACGTTTTAGGTTTGAAAGAGCCCAAGAGCCATCGCATTACCTCCTCTTAGTTCCTATAAACAGACAAAAAACATGGAAACCTAAAGTCCCTAAGGTATCCCAGAACTCAAAGACCCAAATAAATTCTGGAAAATGTATTCTCCCCCAATCACGTTTCAGTAACAGGCATGAAAAGTAAAATGTAGTACTGTACATACCTCTTTGTGTAGCAAACAAAACACTCTGGCTTTTGCAGTCTTAGGCCTTGGCTTCTTCAGATGTGTTGATATCTGCACAAGCTGAGCTGAAGTATGAAAATACGAAAACAGACAGCAGAGTTTTTACATCACTCACACTCCAGGCAGGCTAAGTTTGATGCATAAATTACCTAATGATTTACTAATTTTGCATAACCAACCACTTACAGCTGTACAGCCCATTGTACTCTCTTCCTTTCAGACATTACATACAGAGAAAATTAACTATAGGTATTAGACAAAAACTGTATAGAAATAAACTCTTGGGCTGGAAGAAATCTAGCCTTTGTATCTGGTACGTTTGTTATTATGCGCTGGGTATTTTCTTGATGCAAGGCACAATATTCGGCTTGCTCCCAAACTTCCCGCAGTTCTGCTGCCAAAAAATGACAGCACTCATCAGTTAACTAATCCCACCAGCTACACATGCTGGCCGGCGGAATTGAATCAAATGGAATCAACTGAAAAAATTAAGGCCAGCTGATTTCCACTTTCTGTAATTAAAATAAAGCAAGACCATTGTCACTGTTGATGAGATAAATGTTTTTTTTTGCCTAGAAGCTAGTTAATTATTCATGTGGTAATCTTTTTAAACAATATTTTAGTAATATATTTTCCATCAGTATTATCAGGATCAGCAGAAAAAAATTATCTTGGTCTTTGCAGAATTATATGAAGAGTGAGAAGACTATATAATAATGTGCTTTATAATACCCTTTCACAATGTTTGTTCGGTAACATTAATAAATAAACCATAAAGGATGATGCTTTTATTTCGTTTTGCCAAACATTTAAGCTCAGAAACCATTGGATCTATCCATAAGTGCTGGAAAACATAACAACACTATTCAATAATTTAAAGCAAAGTTTCCAACTGGGTCAAAGCATTCAGTTTTTAAGTTAAGAGCAAAATTACAAGAAAATTGGGAAATAGAATGATAAGTGTTGGCCAGACAAAACTTAAAACTGGCAAATTGGCCTAAATAATGGACCAACTCTACACTGTAGAAGTGAAAATTTTCCCCGGGGGGGGGGGGGGGGGGGGGGAAAAGTAAACAGAAAAGTAAAAAAAAAGTGAGAAGATGTAGTAATAGTGTGGACAACAAAAAATTTAAGGCCCGCAAATCACCATAAAAAAGGGGGTAATCAGACCATGAGGAAGTTGGGGTGGTGGGGGGGGGGGGGGGGAGGGGGGTACTTGGGTTAATGTTTGCTGGGTATGTGCCACTGGCCTATCCCATTATAGTATATTTTTTGACCAGTTGTAGACCCCACCTTAGTCACTTTTTGGAAAACTTAATTTTTGCGATCCCAACTTCGTCACTTTCTATTTATGCATCTACCTTATCAATGTGGTTCAGGCGGCAGAATGTAATGCAGTCAAATAATGCAAGATTATTGTTAAATTTAATAAACAACAACTTTCTGACTTTTTTTTACCAAGAATCTTCCCATTTTGAATCCCTGCTTTGCGACCCTATTCTAGTAACTCTTTTGAAAATGCGACCCCATCCAGCGGCACATCCCCATTAGCCTCTTGTAAGGGAGTACCCCCCGGGAAATTTACACCTGCAGCTGGACATTGACCAAAACTTCCAGCGGAGATTTCTGCAGCATCCACAACTGAGTGACAGCATTTTCTCTTCTCATTAAGTTACAAGTTACCACTATTTTTGTTACAAAAATAATATTTCAATACACCAACGAGCCTCTACATGCAAACACCCTGTCATTACTGAACTCCTCCCAAAAGTGACCACAATTTTCCCAGTCTAAGCCAAAGTTGGAACCTCTCATACCCACTGAACATAAATATATTTTTAATTATAATTCTCAAACTTATGCATGCTGCTTATGCTTTCCTATCAAAAATAACCACTGAATACAAACACCAGTGGCACAATTTAATGCAGGGATAGTCTGAAGGAATTAAGCTGGTGTCTAAAAGTTGAAAAATTACCAAAAGACTGAGATTGTAAATGCAGGTCTTCATGCAGCCATAAATCGCAGGAGACTTCCATCCCTTTTCTACATAATTGTAATAAAAAAGCGGTTGTGGTCATCAACTAGAAACTTAGCAGTTTGCCAACATTATGAAATATAGTTTATTGTTATTGGATGAGGTTTTTGTGATCAAGATATAAAGTGCTATCAGCGAGCTGAAGGCCTGAGGCTGATTAAAACGCACATCTAATAGCGAGACCTCGATTATTTAGGATATCACAAAAACTGAATAACTGTTTTATTATACGACTGTTTTGAAGAAAATTACGACAAACATACTGTTGCGAGGAATTGTTATTGGAAATCATGAACTGCGGGCACAACCTACAGATTAGTCAGTTATCTGCTGGTAGTATAGATAACTAACTAATCAGCAGTACTGTAGGTTGCGCTGATTTCCAAAATAAGCCTCTTAGCCAATGAGAAGACAGATGGTGAGGGCAACGTTTTACAATCATAAATGATATTTATCTCCTTTCTATTCATATACTCATCTTACGCTGCTAGCATTAAGCTAAAGTCTACTGGTTAAAATTAATCTCTGCTATTTTGTAGAATTTTGGAGTGGGGAAAGAGTGCTTCTTTGGTGTCTGAGGCTTATATGTCTTAAACCGGTAGAGGAGAGTTATGACAAAGGAAGTGCATTCAAACTGTTTAAGGTTAAAAAAAGCTCAAGAGCCGTCGGGGAAACCGCTCCTTTTAAACACTCCAAAAGCGGCGGAAACTCTAAGGTGGTACATCCCTGGATCACAAACCATTTCGATCACGTTTTCAGTTGCAGGTATGAAATGTAAAATGTTGCAACGTACATACCTGTTCTTGTAGCAAAGAAAACGGGCTTTCGCAGTAGGCCTCCGCCTGTACAGCTGGGCATATATTCAAAAGCTGAGCTGAAGTAAACAGACGGTGGAGAAGGTAGCGCAGACGTCATGAGACGAGTGCAGACCCTGTGTTCAGCACGCACAGGCAGCCCAAGGTCGATGCATAAAACCACTTACGACAGACGGTTGGTACAAAAACTAATCAACAGATCCATATTGAAATTTAGGTGAAAGTGTAGAAACAAACTTCATTTATCTTAAATTGGGCTTTTTTTTGCTTTTTCTTCGTTATAAACCCAGACTCAGTTTATGTCCATTTTCAACTTCGTGTCATATAAAGAAAGCCTGAATCTAGCTGGAAACTGAAAAACTCCATGAAAATAATGAAAAACCATAACTTTTGCGTTTCGTTCTTCGTCTGTATCATTAAATAATATTACAATATCACACTGTGGTTTGGAAAAAATAGATTCTGATGGATTAAAAGCAACTGTTGGATGTCACCCCGCGTGTACGGCTCCTGCAACTCGCGTGACATGCTTGATGGCTCAAGGCAGTACATAATTAAGGTCAAAATATTGATATACATCAGACTAGCGGAAGTGCAAATCACAATTGGTCGTCATTTCCTTTTTTGTTCTCGTTCATCATGTCCGGTAGTCTGCTACACAGCCGTTTTTTACTGTCGTCACGCAACGCTCCTCGCCATTAGTGGGGAGGAGCGTTGCGTGACCACACTAAAAACGGCTGTGCAGCAGACTACATGTTCGGCAGATTAGAGTGCAACTCGTAAAAGCCATTAGGTTTTGGTAAGAATCAAAATTTTTATCCCTAATACATGGTCATATAAGCTGGGACAAAAATCGATTACGGCTCCTGGCTGGAGTCTGGCTAGGACTGGGGTTTAAGCCAGTCAGTTATCTTAGAGATTTATACAGCGACTTATTTATTCTCAACTAGAAACGTCCTCAGCGACGAAGAGCTAGGAGAAACGGATGTTTTCGCAGGCTAATTGTCAACGTGTTCGCAAAGAGATGATAACGTAATCAGCCTAGTACTAATATTAGTTGCGTTTAAACTACACAGAAGGCTTATGATCAACAAATAGAAAACAAGGATTGAGATCCAGATTAGAGATAGAATGGAATGGAAGCCTGGGTGATACTTGTACTGTTCCTGGATAAGAGGGAGTCAGAACGTCAATTTTCGGAAAATATCTGTTCGGAAGACGATTTGAGATCTAGAATTTTCGGAACATTTTTTGTAAAATTTCTTCCTTGCCTACCTCTCCTAGGATTTTCGAACATCTAAAAGTTGGTATAATTGCCCATTTTTAACAGATTTTCACCCTAAAAAGCTCACCTAGATTTTTCGGGAACCTTTTTTCTGGCTGAAATTTTCGAAAAGGTAAGGTTTGATCCCTATGATTTTCGGATCGCTAGACTTTCAGCTAGGAAATCCGAACAGATGAAAAATTTTTAGGGGATAAAAATATGCCTATATCTACCGTTTTTATACTAAAATACGTTTAACAATGTTATGTTTAAGTGGTTTTGAACTATATTCCCGTTGGGTGCCCCTGGGTGTTCAGAGAACCGAGGTTTTGCCAGAACAACAGACTGCTTTTTATATTTAAATATTTACTTATTTCGACTCCTGGTTTCGACTTTAAAAGCCCTATCCATATTTCCTCAACTCTGTCCGCAACCGCGTCACTTGGCCCTCTGTAAGATTGCGCATGATCGGTATCGTGATACAAGATGGGGCGAAACTTTTAGTTGAGATGAATGGTTTGAGAAACAATAGTGCCAAATGCCCACCGTCTTAAGTAAAGTTTGTAGAATACATTAATATTTTATGTTCTAGATAACAGATTTAATACCGATTTTATAGAATGTAACAGTCATTTTTACAGTTCAGTCTTTGAATAAGCGCATATCGGGTTTACTTAACAGTGTTAACGGGGAAATAAACGGAAAAGATGTGATTTTGATTAGGATGGCCATGTCGGCTGTCTTTCAAGTTTAAACGATGAACCGGTTGCGTGACAGTATCCTTCTCGGAGTCACCCAATGTACTTCCGGCCCGGATGACTGCAATCTCAAGAATAGCCAGATTTATGGAAAACCTAGACCCCACTCTCCCCCCAGAAAAGGTGCGTCGCGGCTTCATCCTTGATTCTGTCCAAAAATTGTAGTTGCGTGAGGGCCATGCTCTTCCGGAATACAGTATCCGTCCGGATTAAAACTTAGGCCGCGTTTAACTGCCGCCTGGTTAGCTCAGTTGGGAGAGCGCCGGTCTGCTAAGTGGGGGGGGGGGGGGGGGGGGGGGGGGGGGGGGGGGGGAGGGGGGACCGGCGGGGGGGGGGGGGGAAAAGGAGGGGCAAGCAGCGGGGTGGGCTTTTTTAGCTTTTCTTTTTTCGGGGGGGGGGGACACATATAAAAATAAAAAAAGACGAAAAGGGAAGAAAGAAAAATATACGAAGGGAAGGGGACTACCCCCCACCCCCCCCCCCAAAAAGGGTGCCTGCCGGTTTCCCCTTTATTTTTCCAAAAAATTTGTGGTGTGGGGGGGGCACTCCCCTCGCGAAAAAGTTTCCCGGCCGGGTTAAAAACTGGCGCCGGTTTTCCCCGCCGCCGGGTGGGCTGGGGGGGGGGGCCGGGTGGTTG